CGGCCCATGCTAGCGGGGCTGGCCGCGTAATTTATTGTCCAAAATGGTTTGGAGGGTGAAAGGCGACTGGGCAACAGGCATAAACCTTTGTTGTCCCGGGCACACAGGGGTGCATGGGGACCCTAACTCTGACACCACATCTCTACAGTCTTAGGTCTAGGGGTATGAGGAAATGCCGAGAGGCATTATCTTGGGAGAGATCGCCATACCCAGGAAATGTGATTAAAGGCCGAAGACGAGGCCTGTGGTAAAATTAATGTGTTTATCAGAGTGTCCTCTGCTTTTACTATTCTATGTGGCATTGGTCTGAGTGAGTGCAGCTGTTTCTCGAAGCAGGCACATGCGGGTAGCGGTAGACATCCAAACAAAACCAAGAACCCGATGCAAAATCCAGCCGGGAAGTCTGAACCCCCTGCGGAAGCATTAACAGCGTCCTCCTCCCGCAGGGCAGCCTGGGAGTCATTTAAGAGGAAGAAGGATGAAATCAAGAAAACAATCTTAGCAGCAGAAAGAACTACGGAAACAAAGTCAAAGTAAATGCAATTATCAGGGACCACAGGCTGCTCCTCTCCCGGGCACCTGAGACATATTAATGCCGTAAATATTTTCCAAGAATGCTGAATCTTCTAGAGAGAGTAACACACTATAGAAGGTAGCTGATTTCTCTAATCTGCTGTTATTTTGCATTTCCTTTACTTTTTAAAACACCACGATTCTTATTGGTTCCCCAAATCTTACAGCTTATATGAAAAAGTGCTCCACATCACTCGGCATAGGGAAATACAAATCAAAACCACAGTGAGATACCACCTCACGCCAGTCAGAATAGCTACAATTAACAAGCCAGGAAAACACAGATATTGGTGAGGATGTGGAGAAAGGGGAACCCTCCTAACACTGTTGATGGGAATGCAAGCTGGTGCAGCCACTCTGGAAAACAGTATGGAGGTTCCTCAAAAAGTTAAAAATAGAGCTACCAGCAATCGCACTACTGGGTATTTACCCCAAAAATACAAATGTAGTGATCCGAAGGGGCACGTGCACCCGAATGTTTATAGCAGTAATGTCCATAAGAGCCAAACTATGGAAAGAACCTAGGTGTCCATCAACAGATGAATGGACAAAGAAGATGTGGTATATATATACAATGGAATACTATGCAGCCACCAAAAGAAATGAAATCTTGCCATTTGTGACGACATTGATGGAACTAGAGGGTATTGTGCTTAGCGAAATAAGTCAACTGGAGAAAGACAGCTATCATATGATCTCCCTGATATGAGGAATTTGAGCACCAAGACAGAGGATCATAGAGGAAGGGAGGGAAAAATGAAACAAGAGGAAACCAGAGAGGGAGACAAACCATAAGAGACTCTTAATCTTAGGAAACAAACTGAGGGCTGATGGAGGGGAGGGGGTGGAAGGGATGGGGTGGCTGGGTGATGGACACTGGGGAGGGTATGTGCTATGGTGAGTGCTGTGAATTCTGTGAGACTGATGAATCATAGAACGGTACCCCTGAAACAAATAATACATCATATGTTACTAAAAGAAAAAAGAAATCTTTTTTTTTAAAGATTTTATTTATTTATTTGACAGAGAGAGAGATCACAAGTAGGCAGAGAGGCAGGCAGAGAGAGAGAGGAGGAAGCAGGCTCCCCGCTGAGCAGAGAGCCCGATGCGGGGCTCGATCCCAGGACCCTGAGATCATGACCTGAGCCGAAGGCAGAGGCTTTAACCCACTGAGCCACCCAGGCACCCCGTAAAGAAAAAAGAAATCTTATGGCCTATGATCAAGAAGTATGTAACAATTTTTGAATCTGTTTTTCTGTGTCCCAATCCCCACTTTCCAATGGGTTTCAGTCACTCACAAACAAGACTTCTAATTACTATATCTACCAAGGAACAGTGCCATATGATGTGAATCCAAATAGTTCCCCAAAATCTGGGTCGGGAAGACAGGGTGGGGTATATATAGAAAAGATTGGCTCTGAGTAGATAACTATTGAAATTAAGTAATCAGTAGAAGGAGCTTACTATGATACTATCAACCTATTCTTTCTGTCTACCTATGTTAAGGTAAGTGTTAAAAAAATCTCACAGGCCTCACACTTCAAGTCCAGCCCAAATCAGGGCAAATGAAAGAGCAGAAGAGGCAGAATCAAACATAAACCAGACAACAGCAGACGTGCACAGAACATAGCTGCAATACATGAACACTTCCGCAAAAGAGTTCTTTCCAATACACAGGGCTTTGGAGATGAGACCCGAATCTATGAGGGCCTGACAGGAGCTGGGGGCCTTGGCCAGCCATGGCTGGCTGATGACCAGACCAAAAGATGCAGCCAAGGTCCGGCCAGGTGCTTCAGCTCCAGGCAAAACAATCGAGTAGACCTCCCCCTGCTGGAACAATTTGCTCTTCCTCCCAGGTAATCCCAATAAAGCAGCTATTACCCAAGACCCACAGTAAAGCAAGAGTGTGGCTCAAAGGCCTGCATAACTTCATCTCCAAATGTTCGCTGAGGACTTCCATTGTTGTTCCGACACAATATATCTCGCAGTTTATAAACATCACCACAATTCGGTCTCTTAATTTAGGCTAGAGCCACCACCCTTTATGAGGTCCTGCCTTCCCCTGGGATTAGAGCTTCTTGACCCCAGCTACCCATTAGAAATATCTGGGATCTTTAGAAAAATCCTGATGCCCCAGGGGCAACCTAGACCCATGAAATCACAATCTCTGGGCACAGGGCCCAGATGCCGATATTTCTGGAAGGCTCCTCGATGATTCTAATGAGCGGCTAGGGCGGAGAACCACAGACTTGGGTAGACCTGGATCTGTCAGAGGCTCACTCACTGTAAATCATGCCTCACTTCTCCGGGCATCCCCTGCTACTGCTCGGACCACCCCCACTTTCTGATCTTCATGTGTGGGCAGACCTCAATCAATCCAGAACCTAGTTCTTTCTTCTTTCTAGGAGTTTCCTAGGGCTGCATGACAAAATACCACAAACTTGGTGGCTGAAAACAACAGAAATAAAATCTCATAAATTTAGTTCTAGAGGCTAGAAGTCCAAAGGCAAGGTGTTGACAGGCCGTGCTCTATGCCGGGATCCTTTCTTGCCTCTTCTAATTTCTGGTGGTTGCTGGCAATCCTTGGTGTCACTTGGTTCATGGACCTATTACTCCAATCTCTCCCTTCATTGTCACTTGGCAATCTCCCTTGAAATCTGTGTCCCTTCTTGTAAGATCACCAGTCATACTCGATTAAGAGCCCACCCTACTCTCGCAGGACCACAACACCTTCCACCTGCAGCAACCCTGTCTCCAGAGAGGGACACATTCTGAGGTTCCAAGAAGCACACTGTTTCAAGCTGGGGCACTCCTAGTCACCTGTAGAAAGCAAATCTTAGACGTTACCTTCATCAGAATGCATATAAGATCTAGCAAACTGGGAGCACGATGCCTTTTAAAACATGTTTTTCTTTTGGAGTCATTTTAGACTTCTAGAATGGTTGCAAAGATAGTACTGAGAGTTCCCGAATGCTCTTTACCCAGCTTCCCCTAACGTTAACATCCTGTGAAACTATGGTACCCTTATAAAAACTAAGACATTCACAGCAGTACGATACTGTTGACATAACCATATACTTCGTGCATCTTTCAGCAGGCATCCCACTCATGCCTTTCCCTGCTCTGGGATCCAAATCAGGACACCAGCTTGCATTTAACACAACGCTTTTCAGGACGGAATCAAAGGCCACCGCCAAGCTCTGAATCACAGCAACAAAACCACACTCCAGGCATCCTCCCTGAGTTTGCCCTCTAGCCTCCCAGCCAATCTCACATTTGCATCCAACTGACTATGTTTCATCTCTTCTTCCATCCTGTTCAGATCTGGTAACCCCGATTTTTTAGTCAGGTCAGTTCTTAACAGTTTTGAGGCCATGGGACACCTTTGAGAATCCGTGAGAAGGGAACAGATTCTCCTCTAAAGAAAATGCACAGACAAAAACCATTTTGCAACCAATTTCAGAGCAGATATCAATGCCTCCGTCTTCCCCCAGGGTTCCCACCAACACACGACTTCCCACAGTTTGGCTTCCCTGGGCATTGACTTTGTGATGAAATCACTATGAAGCCCTCTCCCAGGATAATGTCTCCAGCTCGCGGACGTGGAGGCAGGGCTGTGCACTCTGGGTTTTGGACAATACCAGTGGTCCTGGTCACTGCCTTCAGCCGACAGTGGACACTGAGGGTGGCTGGACTCTCCCCTTCTGGCCAACTTAGCTGCCAGTAGTTAAGCCCACAAGTTTTAGTTGACCCCTCGCCTCTTTGGAGCCCACTTTTTCTGTGATGGAAGGAATCTCCCAGAATTTAATACTTCTCAATCTGAAAGGCAGGTTATCACCTCAGTTTCAACTAAGAAAAGTGACTCTGGGATCCAGAGCAGTATTACCGAATTCTGTCAAAATCAGACCTGCCGCCATTTTGAAACAGCAGGAACCTTGGTACCAAGGACAATGCCTGCTTATGGCATTTCAGCTTTGGAAAGAGCAGTGTGAACCACCATCCCCCATACACACAAACTCCAAACAACTGGCAACTCTACAACACTACACATCCTCTGAAGTCACCACAGAAGCTTAGAGCAGGAACCAAGGAAAAGGGCAACTGCCCCCACTCAATCCTCACAACCTTGGTTTGGACCTTTCGCTCGCCCCAGTTCCTCAAATGCTGTTTGTTCCTCCCCTCCCCCCAACACCCAGTCAGCCTCAGATGCTTCTCTTTTCTATCAATCCCTCATCTCTCTGACAGATGGCCCAAGGGTCCTCTGAGCTAACCTGCCTGGCAGGCTCTCCTATGTCCCGGGGCCCTACTTTGCTCTCTATTACCGCTCGAATCAGGATCACACCAATTCCTCCAGCATCAGGCAGAAGGGAACAGTTTGGGGAAGAGACGAGAATAATTCTTCTGGGCAGAGCTGGGTCTAGGCTTACCTTCTGCAAACGGTTCCCATTCATAGAAGCGTCCCATGAAGGGCTTGTTGTTGTAGGACGCACACTGGACTTCCCGGATGTTTCTACTGCTTTCTGGACACACCTAACAAAACAGATATTAAATGTGCAGTTAGTGTCTGCATCTTCTCAGAGCCCCAGGCCCATCCCAGAAGACCTCTCCAGCTTTAAATGTCAATCCTCCTCCATCAGAAGCAGCATTTCTGAAACCGTGCAGATCACCTGCATCAAAAATTTAAAATGCAGATCTCAAGGCTTCCTTCCAAGTTTACTACATCAGAATCTTTGGAAGGACACTAAAATTTTAACAAGCTCCCCAGGTTAAGCTTTTGCACCGTAATTTGAAAACCACTAACTGGAACCTTCTGCTCCTGACAAATTGGTCTGCTTGCCTCCCCCACCAAGGCCATCCATTTCCATCTGTTTGACTTTGTTCATGCCGTTCCTGGACATGGGATCATTTTCACAGCAAGCATGTACAGAATCCTTACCACGTGCAGGTACTTCTTTGAACACAGTACACTTACTAATGCATTTAATCCTCAGGGTGACCAATGAGGCCAATCGGATAGTTTTGCAGATTTTTCACCAATGAGCAAACTGAGGCACAGAGGAACCCACACAGCCAGTGAGGGCAGAAGCTGGAGTTAAGGCTAAGTGGTCTGGTGGCCACCACGCTGCCCAGCTTGTCTAAATTCTCTCCACCATCTAACACCACAGGTCCCACCTTTAGAATGCAAAATAATCACCCAGAGATCTCATGGGAAATGCAAAGTCTTGGGTTCCTCCCCCAAGGATCATCAGTCAGTAAGTCTGGGAAGAGGTTCAGGAATCTATATTTTATTAAACTACCCAGGTAATTCCGATATACTAGATTACTCTAAGAAAATATCCAGTTCCCTGTAGTTTCTTTCTTATCTATAAATGATAAATATGAGCAAAGTGTGACATGAAATAAATAAATATGAAATATAATAATATGATCAGAATCTCTAATGCAAATCATGGATAAAGCATGATCTACCTTCTTAAATCCTATATCTACTCTTACTTAAGTGTGGGGTGTGCGTGCACACGCATGCCCGCACCTGTGTGCGCTCGTGCTTAATAATCAGAGGAAAAGGAACCTGGCCCCTTAAATATTAAAAACCCTGTGTATAAGAAGTCTCTGGTATAAACTGCTAATCAGGCCACTCAAAGTCCTGAAGGATTTATAAAGAAATCTACGGTATATATCAGAAGCACCAGGTCTTTTCAAAAGGAGGGAACAAGAGGAGGAATAAAACCAGGTGGAAGGAGGGGCACCTGGGTGGCTCAGTGGGTAAAGCCTCTGCCTTCAGCTTAGGTCATGATCTCACCCTGGGACTGAGCCCTGCATCAGGCTCTCTGCTTAGCAGGGAGCCTGCATCCCCCACCGCCTCTCTGCCTGCCTCCCTGCCTCTCTGCCTACTTGTGATCTCTCTCTCAGTCAAATAAATAAATAAAATCTTAAAAAAAAAAAAAAAACAGATGGAAGGAAAAGCGTCTCTTGTTTGATAAAGGTCAGTTAGGCGAGGCTGCTGGGTGGTCATGGCCCTGCCACAGCCTGAACCAAACCATATGCAGCAGGAAGCTATGGGAAGGAGAATGTGCTAGAAACTGGTGGGGAGAGAAGGGCCCGGTGGACAGTCAGGGTGGGCTGAGCTCCGACCATCAGTCAGAAGCCAACAGGCCGGGCAAGGCTGTCTCCTCCGGAAGCCCGGCCGATGGCAGCACCAGCTGTCTCCATGAAGGATTTGGCATCGAGATGTTTTTGACAACCCTTAGGTCAGAACCAGAGCTCAACGAGGATGTGATCAGCTGATGGCTCGGGAGAAGTCACTGTCCCGGCAAAGAGAAAGAATTACCAAGTGGTTTGTTGAAAATACAGATTCTCTTGGGCGCCTGCGTGGCTCAGTTGGTTAAGCATCTGACTCTTCATTTCAGCTCACGTCATGATCTCGGGGTCGTGAGATCGAGCCCCACGTCGGGCTCCGCGCTGAGAGTGCATCTGCTTGAGATTCTCTCCTCCTCCCTCTGCTCCTCTCCCAACTCTCTTTCTCATAAAATCAATCAATCAATCAATCAAATCTTCTAAAATGCACATTCCCAGGCCTTACCCCAGTGTTAGGGGAGGGAAAGGGCCCAGGAATATATGCTTGGAGAACTCCCTCACTGATTATGGCCGAGCCGGCCGGCACTGGACCACAGCAACAACCAAAGGCCACACCTCAGCCTCATTCTTACTCGGAATTAGTTAACACGCAATCACAGTGTTAGAAGAGTGACCATCAAATCCAACCCTTTACTCTACAGATGAAGACACAGAGGCCTGGAGAAGTGGCACAGTTCGCCAGAGGTCACAGTGACAGAGGGACTGAGCCCAGAGCGTTGACCACCCACTCTGGCCCTAATCAGAAACTAGAGATTAGCTACTCAGTTGCATTTTTTTTTTTTCATAATGGAAACAGACCAGAACAAGCGGGCACATGTCCTATTCCTCAGATAACCACACCTCTGGAAAGCCAAGTTGCTCTGCCATGAGGCTCCAGCCAGAAGCCACCCTTAATTTGTCTGGGGACAGTTATCAGAATTGGAAGCCACAGACCACAAAAACTCAGCCAGTCTGCTTAACCCCTTTCTCTTCCACCTGCAAAATATGCCAAGAGGCATCTGTAGAATCATTTTGAAATGTTCAGTACTTGATGATAGAAATGTATATTTCATGACACGGAAAGTAGTCTACAACCCATTAAGTGAAAAAAAAAAAGTGCTAAATGATTGTGTGTGAGTGTGCACATGCACGCCCATAGAGAAAGAAAGGTTAAAAGCATTATCTCTGGAAGGTGGGTTACATATTTTTTCTCTTTCCACAAAGAAAAGAAAGCTTTTGGTGTATTGCACTGTCTCATTTTTCTGCAATAAATATGTAATATTTATGTAACAAAAGTGGATCATTACTGAGCCCTTCCAAACACTCCAGCCCTTTGCCAGCTTTACATGCGCTCGTAGTTTATAATCTTGGGGTATATCTTAATGCCCCACTAAGGCTCTCACTCTGACCACACACATCTGCCCGGCCAACCAGTCACCTGTGAAGGATCATACAGGGCACCCTGCCCCAGGTCACCAACAAGTTCTTTTTATGTGAGCCTGGCCCAGTTACCTCCTGAGGCGGGGGTTAGGGGTCTTCATGTGGCATCAGACCCACAGTGGGGCGTCAGGCACTGAGGCAGCAAATCCACCTCCAGTCACCCAAAGGCAGGTGGGCCCAGCAGGTTGCCTGTGGTACCCAGCACGTGCTCAGCGTGGGCAGATGCCGCTGGAGATGACCGGGAGCCCTGGCCTAGCCCTGTGTATTCCCCCTGCAAGGACTCACGGGATGCCACATGAGGGGCCACTCAGCAGGTAGGAGAGAGCCCGGGCCGGAGAAATGTGAGACTCACAGGGCTCAAATGTGGACGTGGGTTCCTAAGATAAAATTATAGTAAGGGTGATGCAGGCAGAAGCCTGGGCCAGTGAGGATGTTAAGAACAGCTCACTTGTACTGAGCAGTTACTAAATGCCGGGCACTCTACTCCACAAACCTGTGTATCTTAGCTCATGTCAGCCTCACCACAACTATTATACCCATTTTACAGATGAGGAAGCCAAGGCAGCAGAAAGCTGAAGGAGCTGCGCAAAGTCATGGGCTGATAAATGATGAAGTTAGGATCGGAACCCACACACTCTGGACCCTGAACCCATGCCAGTAACCACCATACCATGGTGCCCCTCGAGAATGGAGGACAGCAAAGTGAATCTGGCATGGGTCCTCAGACAAGGGGACCTTAACTCCTTGCCCGAGAGGTCCTAGCGGCCAACGTCGGTTTCAGCCTCTGAGGCCTGGTGGAGGGGCCTCGGCTGTAAAGATCATGCAGTTGTGGACTGAGGACCAAGCAGGGCCAGGGAAATTCGGCTTCACGTCTTCTGTGGGTTACATCTGTTTGTACTTGTCATACTATTATCTGTATACGATCTCCTCTCATTTTAACAGACTCTCTGAAGTTCAAAATTCCAGGTTACAGATCATTTTACATTTGTTACATTTTAAGTGGGCTGTTTCCTGATGCCATGGTCTGAGTCACCCACATCTTATCGGTGACTGTGTCTAGTTTACACTGTGAGTTGGCTTTGGGCAGATTTCCTGCAGACACTAATCCTTTCCATGGATGTAGATTCCTGTAACCTTCAGGCCAGAAAAGTGGGACAGGGAAAAAGCCGGGCGGATAGAGATCAAGTCCACGCAGAATGGGGCTAGCAAAGACCGGAGCTTCATTGCCTTGTAATGTGTCTGGGAGATAACCTCCCTTCAAATGACTTCCTTTCACCCAAAAGAGGCAGCAATGTTTCCACTGGTCTCTTATGGGAAAAGGAATGAAGACGGACTTTAATATAGGAGCTGAAAATCCTCATAAAGCACTCGAGACCCTATCCAAAGTTCCATCTCGACAATTGTCTCGGATTGCTACAAGTTACAAAGAGTGTTATGGCAACTTGGGCTATGTTCCTAGAGACGCAGGTTGATCTGACATGACACAGCTCAAGAGACCACTCATGGTGATCGCATACCTACCTCGTGATAATTAATTACTTTCACTTCCTCAGTGGACCAAGGGTGTCATCCCCAGTGAAGGTGGCACCAAGGAACATGACCTTGAAGTCTGCCTGAGTTAGACAGGAATTGTTTTTATCCTTTGCATTGTTCTGTATTCAATCAGAAGACCAGTGACGCGCCTACAACATGTGATGTAGTTAACAACCCTGCACAGCCAGGGGAAGGTGTCTAAGTGGCCTTGGGCAAAGCACTTCACTTCTCTAAACCCAAATTCCTGCATGTCAGTAGCAAACCCCAAGGCACTCTCATCCCGCAGGGATATTTTGTGAAGTTTGACTTAGTAATACATTAAAATTTCTAGCTCGGGGCACCTGGGTGGCTCAGTGGGTTAAAGCCTCTGCCTCTGGCTCAGGTCCTGATCTCAGAGTCCTGGGATCGAGCCCCGCATCGGGCTCTCTGCTCAAGCAGGG